AATTTAGGGGTGGTTGATCAACTTGAAACAACACCGTGAACCGCTATACCCTGAAACTGCTGATGTTCCCGCTTTCACCCGAGCCACGGTTGGAAATAAAAATCACAACGATCTGAGTGAACGACACAGACCTCAGCGATAGCTTTTCATTCATTGGCCACGGTGAGCTGTGCCAGTAAAGTTTATTTAAATGTCAACGTTGAACACAACCTGACCTGATATTTGCATTGGGCAAATGGGGTTGGATTTGAATGACAAAAATATCACCTCATGGGATTTCTTGGTTCTATTGCTTCTTCACCACTGGTAGTCACATAACAGAGTCATTTTAAAGTACCCAGAACTTACACCATCCTATGAAGAGGAAGACCCATTTCCTCAGCTTATCTGTGGAGTAAGTCATCACTATTGCAGTGTGTAAATAGCAGCCTTCCACAAACATCCAGAAGAAGTTGGTCACCACAAAATAATTGTAGATCGTTGTAATACACCGACACCAGGGCTGGAACAGACAAATCCAAGAGTATTTTAAACCTGGTTGGGTTGTTCTTGCTTTTTAAAAATTGCTCTGCTTCGGACTACCTCTATTTCCATGAAATCAGAAGTAAAACTCAGATTCCATAGCCGGAAGGGATTACTCTAACCATCTAGTCTGACCTCCTATATAACAGACCCAAGAACTTCTCCAAAATAATTCATAGAGCAGATCTCTTAGAAAAACATTCTCTTCTGGATTTAAAAATTATGAGTGATGGAAAATCCATCACAACCTTTGAAAATTGTTCTAACAGTCAATTACTGTCAATCTTAACAATATATGCCTCCGCTCCAACCTGAATTTGTCTAGCTTTGGTGTCAAGTATCAGAGGGGTAGCCGTGTTAGTCTGAATCTGCAAAAGCGGCGAGGAGTCCTGTGGCACCTTATAGACTAACCAAAGTACTACTTTGGTTAGTCTATAAGGTGCCACAGGACTCCTCGCTGCTTTTGTCTAGCTTTGACTTACAGCCATTGGATTGTCTGATGCCTTTTTCTGCTAGACTCAAGAACTTGTTATTAAAAATGTGTTCCCCATGTAGGTACTGATAGACCATAATCAGCTCACTCTTTAACTCTCTTTTCTAAACTTAATACCTTGAGCTCCATTACTATAAAGGCACATTTTCAAATCCTTTCATCATTGTATCTCTTTTTGTGAACCCTCTCCAATATATCAACATCATTCTTGAATTGTGGTCCCGTGAACACCCTATTCCACGAGCCATTCATTCCATGCCAGATGCAGAAGAAAAATAAATTCTGGACTCCCACTCGAAATTCTCCTCTTTTACAAATCTGAAGATCGCTTTAATCCTTTGGGCCACAGCATCACACTGGGAGCTCACCTTCAGATGCCTATCCATTACAGCCCCCAAATCTCTCTCATGGTCACTGCTTCCCAGGTTAGTCAGTAAGCATGGTCTATATTCTTTCTTCCTAGATGTATACAATTTCCGACATTCAAGAATATTGTTTGCTTGAGCTCAGCTTAGAAAGCAATCTGAATCACTCGATATCAGTAACCAGCCCTCTGCAATATTTATCCCTCCCCCAATTTGTAGGTCATCTGCAAACTTTATTTTATGTTTTTATCCGGATCCATAAATATGCTAAATAGCACAGAGCCAAGAACTGATCCCTACGGGACCCCACTAGAAATAGGCTTCTTTGATGTTGATTTCCCCATTTACAATTACATTTTGAGCCCTATCGTTTAAACAGATTTTAATCCATTTAATGTGGGCCGTGATGATTTTATCTTTCTAGGTTTTTTTTTAAATCACAAATGTCAGAAGTATTCAGTCAAATGCCTTAGAAGAAGTTTAAGCATATTACACCAACACTGTTAGCTTTATCGACCAAACTGGTAGTCCCACCCAAAAGAGGTTGACTAGAATCAATAATATTACCCTCCTTTAAAACTATATTAATCAAGTCTCATATCAGCGGCTCCATTATCTTGCTCAGAATCACCATCAGATTGACAAGCCTATGATTCCTGGGACATCCTGTTTACTCTCTTTTAAAATACTGGCACTTTATCTTTCTTCCAGTCTTCCAAGTCTCATTGTGACACAGGAAGAATGATACCGACCTCCTTTATACCTGTGTCTACACTACTGCCAAGTTTTGTCGATAGTGGTAAACCTCATTCTACAAGGAATAATGCTTGTCAGTTTTGTCGACAGGCTTATGTCGAAAAAAGGCGCTATTGCATCCACACTGTGCTTTATCAAAAGATAGCGTCTAGACTCTTTGTTGAAAAAGCGGCTTGCTTTGTCGACAGAACTGGCTGAAGTCTAGATGCTCTTTGTCAACAGAGGCTTTGTCGACAGTATCTGTCGAAAAAGCCTCTGTCGACAAAAGTCTGTAGTCTAGACGTACCCTAAGTGTCCCATTGATACCAATGACTAAAGTCGTTCTCAAAGTCAGTCATGAGTGGAGAATCAATCAAGCCCTGAACGACCAAGTTGATAAATGTCATATCACGTACTGACACAACAGTGTCCAAATTTAATGCAAATTTTGCATGAGCCAGAGTCTCAGGTAATATGCTAAAGGCACAGGAGTAAATACAAAACCACTTTACTCATTATAGGCATCCATGCTTTGATATAATGGGATGGACAGAGCATACTGCTCTCCTTCATCTGTTTTCAATACATTAGATTATATTACTTTCCCTTAGACCATAATGCACTGTCAATTCAGCAACATACAAGGTAACCAAAAATCAAAGTTTTATTTGTGCATTCATCAGTGAGAGAGCGGGAATGAGAGAGAGAGAGAGACTATAGCTCAGGTTATGAATATTCAGTGAGTGGAAAGATATGAATATTTATTTAATCAACGCATTATTTATGCACTCAATCTTTCTAAAGTTATTTTAAAGGTTCAGAGAGCATATGGATATTACCCTTTGTAGCATTGTTATATATCTAAATAAATAAATAACCGTGCTCCCTACACTCATGACAAGTGGATACTGTTGCCACATCACATACCTCATTGCTTTCATGTATGTTATGATCAATCATCTGAAGCAGGAACCACATCACATTCCGCAGAATGAACGTGGTGATCAGGTTCCAGTGGATGATATTTCGCAGGCATCTGATGCTCCTAATGTGGGGGGAAGATATGAACCATTATAAAATGCCCCTCCAACAAATCTTCATTGTCTACCATGGGTAAGTTGTGGCATGTTTCAGTAGCACAACATGTTATGCATCAATCCTGCCTTGGCTAGTGGGGTAGACTTGACAAGCTCTTGAGATCCTTCCCATGATTCTATGTGAAAGCTACCAAGGGAAGTACCGAATGCAAAGCCATCTCAATAACTGGCCAATGGAAATAATGCAAGCACATTAAAGCACCAGTTGATCCAACACATACTACTTGCTTTTATTCACAAGGCCCTCCACAGCCTATCCCAACCTACCTATCACTTCTCACATGCTACAAACATGGATTCTTGGCCTTTGATCAGCCAGCAATGCCAGCCTTCGATGTCCACTTGCTAAACCTGCATACAAGCACCACTGTGCCTCCACCTACGCTGTGCCTCACGCATGGGAGGAGCTCACAGAACCATCCACAAAGCCACCTCATCATTCACCTTCACATCCTCCTTAAAACTCCTTTCCCATGATGCCTACAACAAAAAAACCCAACAACGGATAGACAGCAAGGGTGGAAAGACTACCATCCCTGATGCTTACCAGTTTCATCCCATTTTCCTTGTGCTCTTCTGATTGCCAGCCTGTATCCACCCATTGGCTGTCTCTGGGCTGGTCTACATTGGAACTTAGATTGGCGTAGTTACGAGTCTCAGGGACATGAAAAAATCCATACCTCTTAGAGACACAGCTATTCTGACTTAAAACCCCTGTATAGTCAGTACTAGGTAGATGGAAGAATTCTTCCACTGTCCTACATATCACCTCTCGGTCTGGTGGATTACCTACATTGATGCAGCATAGCTCATGTCTACACTGGTGTGCCACAGCTGTGCAATTTAAGTGCAGACCTACCCTTATATTTAGATTGTAAGCTCTTCGGGTAAGGGAATGTCTTGTTCTGTTTGTACAGCACCTAACAAAGCAAGATCCCGGTCCCTGACTGGGGCTGTTCGGTGCTACCACAAAATAGCGACACTACTCTCCTCTTTGCTTTCAAAAATCATCCTGTTTGGAAAGGATGCATACTAAATGACAGGTGAAGCTAAGGATCTGTAGAGAGAGAGAACGCATGAGCGGGTATGCTTGGAACTGCAGTGCAGTGGGGAGGAGGCAGAAGAAAACAAAACTCCCACAGGAGCACAAGATAAACAATGTGCCGAGACTTTCATTTTTCACTGTTACCTCGCCCTCCCCACACTTCACTGTTACCTCGCCCTCCCCACCTGCCTCTATGCTTTGTTCACCTGCTGCCTCCTGTCTGACTCTCAGGCCCTAAAGTCTCTGAAGCAAAGAGTATTCTTGGCTATGTCTAGACTACACCTCTGTCGACAGAGATGTAGATTAGGCAACACATGCTACCAAAACCACTTACTCCAAAGTACAGTCTTGCTAAGGCCCAGTTGTTGCAAACCTCTGTGCACATGTTCAACTTAAAGCATGTGAGTGGCCCTTTTGATGTCATGGGTGCTACTCAGCATAGTTAAAGTTGGGGGTGGGGGAGTTCAGGGCCTTAATTACAGTCAGGTGCTCTTAGTGATGATGTTTAATTCGTTCATTATGATTAGCACTGGGCTAGCATCCCAGAAGGCAAGAATTCAAAATGCTACACACAGGGGCTACGTCTAGAGTGCATCCCTCTGTCGACAGAGGGATGCACTCTAGACGTAGCCCCTGTGTGTAGCATTTTGAATTGTGGATGAGTTTCTTGCCTTCTGGGATGCTAGCCCAGTGCTAATCATAATGAACGAATTAAACATCATCACTAAGAGCACCTGACTGTAATTAAGGCCCTGAACTCCCCCACCCCCAACTTTAACTATGCTGAGTAGCACCCATGACATCAAAAGGGCCACTCACATGCTTTAAGTTGAACATGTGCACAGAGGTTTGCAACAACTGGGCCTTAGCAAGACTGTACTTTGGAGTAAGTGGTTTTGGTAGCATGTGTTGTGCATTCACATTCTGCTGGAATACATCATATTTAGGATCCTTACGGCACCCACTGTGTATTTAGAGCGAGGAACTTTTTAAAAAAACTTAAAAAAAAAACCAGCACAGTTTTTTTAAATACATTTATGAGAGACTGATGAGAGACATGACCCTGGGCGCAGAATATTTTTATTCCTTTAGCGTAGGCATGACGTTAAAATCCCCACGGTTCAGAAGTAGCGGCGTTTTAAAAACTCCAAACACTGCTCAACTGAAAGTCACTAGAGCGGTGAGACAATGCAACAAGCATAGCCAGGAGCAGAAAAAGATGAGCAATAACTGTGACAAATTAGCACTCGGTGGAGAGAAACCGAGGAATAAATAGATTGGCAAGAGATGGCAGGGCCCAACAATAGAAAATTAATGAAGTCAAGCACAGTAACACAGAGGGAGTTCTGTTCCCAGATATATGCAATGGGCGCACTCATTTTCTGCAATGGCTTCTGAATGGGATTGTTATATATTGTACAGCAGCACTTAGAGGGCCCGAATGAGAAAATTGCCCCAGTGTGCTAGGGGCAGTAGAGAGACCCAAACGAGAGAAAACCTGTCCCGCCCAACTGCCTATAGAGACAAGTCTGCCAAAGGGAATAGTAGCATCCCATGTGACTGATGGAGAACTGAGAACTCACAGAGAGTAAATGACCTGCCCCCAAAAGTCTTTGGAACAGCCACAAATTGAACCAGTCTCATCCACAAGAACTAACAGGCTCAGTCAGATGGCTGGTTCATCAGGCCCAGCACCTGGTCAGTAGCAATGGCTGGCGATAGATGCTCGAAGCTAAGGTTGCCAACATTGTATTTCAAAAAAAGGGGACTGTTTTCTTAGCACCCTGTTCTCCCACTATCACCATCAGCATCAGTAATATTACTAAGCAATATTCACTCGCATTCACCAGGGATATTTCTTGCTGCTTTTTGCAGGACTCAGCAACCCCAAAGCATGTTGTGCGGAGATGAGACATCAAGGGTATCCCTTGTAAGAAAGGGCCCATGGGCAACCCTAAGAGGAAGGAGCAACAAAACCTGCAGTAAGTGGGATTTGGGAATAACCTGTCTCCATGGAAACCTGAACCACAGAAGCAAGCATCCTTCCCCTCCACGCTTCTATGAGAAAGGAAGGAGAAAACGCCCGTGGCAATGAGTTTCACATTTCCCTTGGCCTTGCCCTTGGGAGTTCTGCAATTTCTCTGCCCCTGCCCTATCCCAGCCCTGTCAGATGGCCTCTTCTGTTGGGCCCAGTAGTAAAGAAGGCTGGGTCCATATCACACAGGCTGTCCTGCAGAAAGAATCCCCTTGAGATCTGTATGTCGAGACCAGGACTGGCAGCCCAACACAAGGGATTAAAGCTAATACAATTACATTTTAAAAAGAAACAAAAAGGGATTTAAGGGGACCAAACGGGTTGAGCCAGAAAGGGTGTGTCTAGACTACAGAGTTTTGTCAACAAAAGTAGACTTTTGTCGACAAAACTATACCTGCGTCTACACTACTGCTGAGTTCTGTCAACATAACGTCGACAGAACTCAGCAGTTTTGTCAATGCTGGTAAACCTCATTTTACGAGGCATAACACATTTGTCAACAGAGTTCTGTCGACAGAAGGTGTTATTGCATCTAGGGTTGTGTCTAGACTACAGGGTTTTGTCGACAAAGCAGCTTGTTGTGTTGACAGAACTGAATGTAGTCTAGACGCTCTTTGTCGACCGAAGTTTTGTCGACAGTATCTGTCGACAAAACTTCTGTCGACAAAAGCCTGTAGTCTAGACGTACCCAAAGAGACTGTAGATCACAAAACTCGGTGCATGAATGACATTAGAAAGCACCTTATTAAACCCCTTCCTGGGACAACAGGGAGAATGCCACGCTTGGTAGACAATGGCAGTTGCACAGGATGTAGCTACACTTGTAGAAACGTGGAAAATTTTGCAAACAGTGACACAGGGGAAATATGTTCTCAGGAAAGCAGTGTCATGCCAGAGTGAGGAATAGGAAGAATTAACAGATCTGATGTGCCGAGCTAAAATGCCACCTCAGATGTAGCTGCAGAATTGCTAGCATGATGCTATAATTTGCTGATGCATCATTAATCCCCTCTGCCTACCATAAGGATTAAGAGGAAAGGTGTTACCATTATGGCAGTCAAATGCCCTATTCTAACCACAAACCTTGTGGCTGTCCTCTCCACTCCCTTTACCACCCTGGGGCCATGTTTTCACTAAGTGGAGAAGATTGACACTGCTGTGATTGATCTTTTGGAGTTCAATTTAGTGGGTCTAGTTAAGACCTGCTAAATTAGATTCAGAAGGTGCTCCCATAGGCAGTCAGTACTCCTGCTCTTGCAAGGAGTAAGGGAAGCCAACGGGAGCGTTTGCTCCCATTGGCCTCTTGCTGTAGAGCCAGCACAGAAACTTGAAACAAGGTATGTTGACTCCAGCTATGCGATTAACATAGCTGGAGTTGCGTATCTTGACTCAATCTTCCCCTTTAGTGTAGGTCTGGCATGGGTATGTAAACACAGGGTAGGAACTGGAATAGGAACTGTACTACTGGCATTAGAAGGACTTGAAGCACAAATTTAAAATGGCAGAAGGCTGAAGAAACAAATACCATACATCTCTCCTTTCCCTTCACCAGGGACAACCCAGTGATCTAGGTTACGGATTTCTTCTAATTCCACCACCATGTCCCTGTCCTTTACTGCTCCTTCTCATCTAGGGATAATTAAGTCCAAGCTTTAGATGCCCTCCTCTCCCTTTGTTTCCCTGCTGGGCAGACCTAAGAACAGTAGGAATCAGAAAGGAGGAGGATCCACAGACTTCAGGCGTTTCGTCAGCATCACAGCAGAGCTATCAAGGCCATGAGAAGCTAGGGGGAAGTCTATTGTAACAACAGGCAAAGTGCAGGGATCAGACTAGATAATCTGGGGGCTGGGTCCTTCTAGCCACAGAAA